CGAATTCGAATACGAGTCGAATTGGCTCGAATACGAGTCGAATACAAATGTGGTCGAATATGTGTTTTTGAATTCTGAGTTGTGTGTCGCCCCTCTTGTTTTTTTTTTGCAGATCCACCAAAATTCGTGCTCCCACTCAGAATGTATTGGATACAATATTTGCGTGGCTTTTTTTGCTAAATGTGTCGGTAAATCGTATATTTCTCCTCTTGATTTTATATTTTACCTAAGATTTGAGCATTCCATAATGCAACAACATGTGGATACAAGGAAACAACCCAGACTGTGGTTAAAACATCACCATGTACTCCGTGTATCAACACTCCTTAACAATCCATCCCTGAAAAACTCAATCCAATCAACCACAACACTCAAGGCTCTACTCAAATTTGGAACTAGAATGAAATAACCAACCATAGTAATGTAGGCTATAAACAACTCAAGACCAAGAATGACCCACGTTACCACACTCGTCTAAGGTCTAAACATGGCTAGAACAAGGATGAAGCAATCAAAACCGCGAACTAAACAACTCAACCGTCGTCTCAAACACATGAAAGAATGAACTACTTTAATCAACCACAATACTCAACGCTCTACACAACTCTGGAGCTAGATTGAACCAAACAACCCCACTAATGAATGCTCTAGACCACACTCGAATACGAATGAACCAATCAAGTAGATCAATGTAAGCTCTAAACAACTCTTGAACAAGAAGGAACCAACTAATCGCACTAATGATGGCTCCAAACAACTTTAGACCAAGAGTGAGCCAATTAACCACGTTAATGATTGCTAATCAACAACTCTAGAACAAGCATGAACACATAAACCATTCACATAGAGGCTCTAATACATTCTAGAACAAGAATTACCCAACTAACCACACTAATCAATGCACTACCCATTCCTATAACAAGTTAGAACCAAGCTACCTAGGCTATAAATCTCCAACCTAATCTTTCATTCCTTCCAAAACCATCCATGAGCGCAAGCAAATGCATGCGCGGACCGTCGTAGGATCTAAACTATGACGAAAATCCGTAATGACATGTTGGGCTATTGAAAACGACCGCTCGAAATCCGCCGAAGTTCCCGGTACGGCAAGATAATCCCGCGCCATGTGTGCGACAATGGGATAAAGAGGTGCATACACCTTCCACCACTCTTTGAACGAAGGTAGCTGTGAAAATTTAGAAGAAAGAAGAGTGTTGAACTAGCAAGAATGGGGATACAAATAGCAAACCTTAGAAGGGTTGTACTCGCTATGGAGCACCCCACTACAGGCTAGAGCATAATATTCTGACACACCCCCATAGCCAAAGTGGGGTGTAATCAGTAGAGCAAGCAAAGCAGTACAAGCTCAGGGTGGATCACAATGTCACCACACATTCTGAGCACAAGTTCAAGAAGCAATAGTTTAAAGTTAACAATTATGAGCAAAGCAAGAGGCTATCGCTGAGGGCAAGTGAGGAGGAGGAGGCGGGAGTGAGAGGAAAGGAGATAGGAGGCGACGGATGGAGCTGCAGACACACGGGCAACAGGTGGCAGACTGGCACAGCGGCTACCGGACGAAGCCCCGGGACTACAGGGGTAACTGGCCCCGCGGCTAAAGTAGCGGCAGACGAGCAACGGACCCACGGGCGGCTGGCACAGCTGGCTACGACTGAGCTACCGGACGAAACCCCCGGACTACAGGTGCTGCTAGCGACACAGCGGCATCCTTCATTCAGCCTCCCAAACAGTCTCACCCCCCCTTGCACACACCCCCTACTGCACCCCTAGGGTCACTCACACCCCACCCCCTAGCACGACTCCATCGACTCCCACACACCCACCCCCCTCAGCGGCAGCTGCAGCAGTGGGAGACAGAGAAGGAGGAGGAGCAGGGAAGACCACACACCCGCCACCCCCATACTCGCCACCCCCTACTCGCCACTCCCCAAACCCTAACAGAGGCAGCAGAAGGGAGGGCGGCGCTCGCCCCCCTCCCCCAGGTAAGTCCTCCCGTCGCCTGTCGAGGCGACCCTCGGGGGCCGCTTGCGGCCCCCGAGAAAGCCGCAACGGGCGACGGGAAAAGGGGCCGCAGGCGGGGCCGGGGCCAGGACAGCGGCATGGGGCCGGGATGGGCGGCGCACGGGCGGCGACGGGCCGGGGCAGGTGGCGCACTGGCGGCGACGGGCCGGGGCAGCTGCGCGGGGCCGGGACGGGCGGCGCACGGGCGGCGACGGGCCGGGGCTGACGGCGCACGGGCGTCGACGAGGCGGGGCAGCGGCGCACGTGCGTCGACGAGCCGGGGCAGCGGTGCACGGGCGTCGACGGGCCGTGGCTGACGGCGCACGGGCGTCGACGAGCCGGGGCAGCGGCGCACGGGCGTTGACGGGCCGGGGCAGCGGCGCGGGGCCGGCGCGCGGGTCCCCGTCGCCCGTCGCAGCGCCTCTCGAGGGCGACGCGCCGAGCGACGAGGCAGAAGCCCGCCGCGCGCCTCGGGGCGCACAGCGGGCAGAGAACCGCCGCGCGCCTCGGGGCGCACGGCGGGCAGAAAACCGCCGCGCGCCTCGGGGCGCACGGCGGGAAGAAAAAACTGCCGCACGCCACGGGGCGTGCGGCACAGAGAGTAGCAGTAGCAGTTGCAGCGGAAGCAACGAGGTGGTGGGCCCACCCACAGGATCGATCCAAGAGGACCGACTTGCTCTGATAGCATGTGAAAATTTAGAAGAAAGAAGAGTGTTGAACTAGCAAGAATGGGGATACCAATAGCAAACCCTAGAAGGGTTGTACTCGCTATGGAGCACCCCACTACAGGCTAGAGCATAATATTCTGACAGTAGCTTGCCCTCGGGTCCAACACTCAATCTCGTCTTTCGAAGATATTCATCCAAATGAGTGCTATCTTCCATCGTCTCCCCACTCGCGCGACATTGGAAAATGGCACCAAAAAGAGAAAACCTTCTTCGCACCGCGGATGAGGTTTGGGAAGTGGCGGCGGAAGTGTTATTCTCGGCATTTTGTTCTCCCATGTGCCTTCTTTCACACTCCTTATATGTCTTGGTAATGTGCTGTCGCACACTATTGGTCCTTTGATGATCACCACCCAACCTCTCACCACCGGCATAATACTCAAGGTTGAACCTTGGGTCCAAGGCCGTAGCAATGGTGTACTCCTCCGATGATCGGTCATAATATCCCTTGAGCTTCTCAAGGCCATCCTTACACGCCTCCCAAAAATCCCTTTTCTCGTTCACCCTCTTGTTTAAAAGATCCATTAAAGCATTGATGGATGGTACACACAAGGATACGGTTGGGTAGCTTGAGCCCTTTAGCACATTTTGGACTTCGGCGAACTGCTCAAGAAGGTTTTCAAGACGTTCAAGACAATCCCACTCTTCACCCCTCATCCTAAGTTCCTCTTCCACCTCATCGGTCACGTCCTCCACCAAGTAGGCATTAATGGCGGGTCGGAGCAACCTTGCTCTCAACATCATGAAATGAGCACTTCCCCAACGAGTACGAGTGTCTTGCTTAAGCGGTGCTATGTTGTGAAATGACTTCTCCTTCCACCGGTTCCAAAACTTCCCCTTCCTCAAAGGAGACCTCTTGAGATGTGTTGCAAATGCGCGAATCTTTTTGAGTGCTTCTTCGATCGGGTCCTTTTTCAAGATGACCTCCATCACCAGGTGAATCACGTGGTTGAAGCATCTCATGTGCCGTTCGACGGGAAATCCCTTCTCCGCTCCCAACAAGTCGATGAAACGCTTGTTGTTGGAGGCGTTGTCCACCGTGATGGCCATCATCTTCTCCTCCAACTCTTAATTTTCATACACACACACTTCACAAATGCACACTTGATGGCTTCACCCGTATGATGGCTTTGGAAATGCAAGAAATCTGACAAGATGCACTTGGAGTTGAGAGCATCATCAATCCAATGAAAAGTGATGGCCATGTACGAATCATTTGTAGGGGCGGACCAAATGTCAAGGGTAAATGAAACCTTTGATGAGAGATCTCCAAGAAGCTTTTTGATCCTACTCACACAGGCGTTGTAGGCGGCATGGATGTCGGTTGCAATAGTCATACGGCTTGGAATACTTGCTTTTGGGTTGAGCCAAGCCAAGTAGTCCCGAAAGTCCACATCTTCGATGAATGAGAACGGGATGAGCCCCTTGGCGAAGATGCGCACGAACCTCTCGCGATTCTCCTTGTTCGTATAAGGCTTGATCTTCAATAAAGCCCGTGAGATGTCATTCGGAGAATCACCCTCCACCTCCGTTCCTTCGCCATCTTTCTCCAAGAGCCGAAATTCTCGAGGGTGACTTTTCAAAGCATGAGTCCGCATCGAGCTTGTAGAGCTTCCCGTCAATGCGTAGATTGAAGGCTTGATGATGCAAAAGTTGCATTTTGCCTTCTTGCCGCACTCCATTTTTGTAAACATGAGCCATATTTTGGAGGAGGGCGTTTTGAACCGTTTGGTTTGAGGTTCTAAGGGTTTAGGGTTTAGGGTTTAGGGTTTAGGGTTTGGATTGGTGAAAAGCCGTAACAGTTTGAAAAGTCACATCATGGTCACATCAAGAAACTGTCCACCAATCCATCTCATGTAGTAGAAGTAGAAGCTCATAGTAACAGTTTCTCCTAGACTAAAATGCCGTTCGTAGTCTTCTCACTAGTCTGCAGCCGTTCCTAACGGGCGCGCGCTTCATGCCATAGTTCCACCACTTCGAAAATTTGTTGATGTCTCATATCGCCGCGCCGCACCGTCGATAGGTTCAAATGTCTGCAAATAGCAGAAGAAAAGCACTGCTTTAGGAAGGTGCGTTAGACGGGCGGGAAAACGAATACTCGAGTATTTGCTCGAGTTAGGACAAACGAGTATCCGTATTCGGGAGCTAACAAAAACGAGTAACATCGAGTATACAAGGTGAACTCGATTCGAATTGTATTCGACAATTCGTCGAATTTCGAATACAAATCGAATAGTGTGCTACTCATTTTCACCCTTAACGCCACGTGCCCGGTGCAGCAGCCCAACGCACCGCACCAGCTTGCAGTCGCCCGCCCGCCAGCCCCACCCGCACGGCTGCAGCCAGCTCTGCTCGCCAGTCCACGTGTGCAGCGCGAGTGCGCGACGCCAGGCGCTCATGCTTCTTGCTCCGCTCGGCTCTGCTGCTGCCATACCGCGCGCTCACCCTCGCGGATGAGCGCTGCACGCAGGAGGTGGGGTGGGGGACAGAGGTGCAGAGGCGCACATGGGTGGGGGAGGTAAGGCGCATGGGCGGAGCGGGGGCAGGGGACGCCAGCCACGTCAGCTGAGAGGATGAAGGGGCGGACCCACCCTTGCCACACATGCAGCCTCGCAGAGGATCCATTCTGTGTTATTGGAGATCGTAATACAGCGCTGCGAGGACACGGGTGGGTGGGTGGGTGGTGCCCGCGTGGACTCGCGAACATGGATGCCATGGAATGGCAGGGTTGCGCAACCCTCGCTTGATGTACAGGATAGGCGAGAGTCGGGTATTTGTCAAGTGAGGAGAACTCAGCGAGCAAGATGCCTTGGCTTGGGTTACTCATGGCTTGCTTCGTTCGCTTGCAAATCTATGCATGGATCTCAAAAGGGGAGGTGAAACACAAAGAAGAAGGGATAGGACTCGCATCTGTCACTGCCGCATTTGCATTTTATCCGCAACGGGACAAGCGCAAGGCGTCGGGCCAGCAATGACAGGTGTGAGCAGCGACTCAAAAGCAGGGTGGGGTGAGCGCAGGGCAAGCAAGACGGCATGACTCATGTGCACGCCACACCACACGCGTGGTATTTGCGCACACCCACTGGTGCGAGAGCAATTTTCAGGGTTAGAATTTTCCGCAACAAGCGGCAGTCGTTCTTTGCTAAAGCGATTCCTCACACGGCCAGTGACAGGGCTACTCTTCTTCATGACCAGTGACCCATGGTACTGGCATGCAGCACTGGCATGCACCACTGGCATGCACCACTGGCATGCATCACTGGCATGCACCACTGGCATGCACCACTGGCATGCACCATTGGCATGCACCACTGGCATGCACCACTGGCATGCACCACTGGCATGCACCACTGGCATGCACCACTGGCATGCACCACTGGCATGCACCACTGGCATGCACCACTGGCATGCACCACTGGCATGCACCATGGCATGCACCACTGGCATGCACCACTGGCATGCACCACTGGCATGCACCACTGGCATGCACCACTGGCATGCACCACTAGCATGCACCACTGGCATGCACCGCTGGCATGCACCACTGGCATGCACCACTGGCATGCACCACTGGCATGCACCACTGGCATGCACCACTGGCATACACCACTGGCATGCACCATTGGCATGCACCACTGGCATGCACCACTAGCATGCACCACTGGCATGCACCACTGGCATGCAGCACTGGCATGCAGCACTGGCATGCACCACTGGCATGCACCACTGGCATGCACCACTGGCATGCACCACTGGCATGCACCACTGGCATGCACCACTGGCATGCACCACTGGCATGCACCACTGGCATGCACCACTGGCATGCACCACTAGCATGCACCACTGGCATGCACCACTGGCATGCACCACTGGCGTGCACCACTGGCGTGCACCACTGGCATGCACCACTGGCTTGCACCACTGGCGTGCACGAACCCACCTTTGATGACACTCTCCACTTCTGACGCGCCCTCGCCTTGCCAATGAGACGCCGCCTCCGCTCCTCCTTCTCCTTCTCCGCCTCACGCACTTCCTCTTTCCACCGTGCCAGCTTGCCGCCCTTCCGCCTGCCACCCCGCACCCGCAGCTCCGAGTCGTCTCGTGCCTCATCCCCGCCACCACAACGGCCCATTATAACCCCGAATCGTCAACCGGTCAGAGCCCTATTCCCTGGCCAATGTGCCTCGCGCCATCCCTGCCCACGGCTTGCGCCTCCTGTGTGTATGCTCTCCACCGCCATCACAACCTCTTCATGAACGTCTCGTCCGCACTGCTGTGTGCACTGCCAACCACCATCACCGCCTCATCTACGCCCCTCCCCACTGCTCCCCGCCCACCCTTGCCTCCCCTCTCCGCATCTTTCCCCCCCACCACTGCTGCTGTAACTGCAGCGCCCCTCACTGCGCACTGCCCTGCGCCTCTTGTCACCTCCGTACTGACCTTCTTGCTGGGGAGGAGGTCAGTGGGGCTGCTACCCCCTCTTGCTGCCTTGGGCGCGGCAAGCTCCCCATGCCATGCGCGCGCCACACTACTAGTGTAGGACGGCACGCATAGGGGGAAGGGGACGGGGAAGAGACAGCCAAGTGGGAACAGAAGCAACGAAGGCAGTTAGGAGTGATGTGAGAGGCTGAGGGACAAGGGGTCCTGAGAGGCTGAGGGACAAGGGGTCCTGAGAGGCTGAGGGACAAGGGGTCCTGAGAGGCTGAGGGACAAGGGGTCCTGAGAGGCTGAGGGACAAGGGGTCCTGAGGTAGCAGAGGTGCTTCACAGTGGCGATTCCGCCCATTTCGCACCTGGCTATAATGGCTGCCGATAATAACCGCCGGTGCTCCTCGCTCTGCTACCTCCCCACCTCCTCACCGCACCCCACTTCCCGCCCCTTCTGCCGCTCCCCTAGCGCTCTCCCCAGAAAGCCTCCTCTCCCTCTCGCTCGCTCCCACCCGCAATGCCATTGCCATGGCCCTTGTCGACCGGCACAGCGCCACCCAACCTCTTTCCGTGCCCTCCTGCCGGTGGTGCAACAGTGTGCAGCCCATGGCGCGTGTGTGTGTTTACTGCTAGCCCGTGCTTGTGCCCATGCCCATGCCCATGCCCATGCCCATGCCCGTGCCCGTGCTTATGCCCGGGCCGCACCTCGTCTGCGTACACCACATGCGCGTGTGCTTACTGCTGCACCGCACCACCTTTTGAGACGAATCAAAAGTATGCCGCCCCTCGTCCACGTGCACCTCGTCCGCGTGCAACATGTCCACGTGCTCGTCCGCGTGCAACATGTCCGCGTGCACCTCGTCCGCATGTGTTTACTGCTGCACCGCACAACCTCGCAATCAACCGCCAGCCAGCTCTGCTCGCCCATCCGCACAAGCTCGCGGTCAGTCCGCACGAGGTGACCACCGCCAGGCGCTCATGATTCTTGATGCTGCGATGCCGCACATGAGCGCATGCCCCCAGGGATGAGCGAGCATGCCTCCGCGCTGCATGCAGGAGAGGGGGACAGAGGGGAAGAGGTGCGCGGGGAGAGGGCAAGGGGGAGAGGGCAAGGGGGAGAGAGCAAGGGGGAGAGGGCAAGGGGGAGAGGGCAAGGGGGAGAGGGCAAGGGGCAGAGGGCAAGGGACAGAGGGCAAGGGGCAGAGGGCAAGGGGCATATAGTTCGCCGGGATATGCAGGAGAGGGAAGTGTGGGGTGTTCATCAAGCGAGGAGAATTTGGTTTTAGGTTACCCACTTCTTGTTTTGTTCCCTCGCAAATCTTCGCACGCACCTCTGGAAAGGGCACACAGAAGGGGGGATACCAGAGTAGTATCCGCAGAAGGCAGCGGGAGCAGCACAACAGAAAGGGGCAGCGGGTGGCGGCGACAGGGCAGCGAGTCAGTCAGCGAGTCAAGCGCAAGCAAGGTGGGGTGAGGGCAAGAATCGCAAGACGGCACAAGTCAAGTGAAGCGCGCGTCAGGGCCGCACCGCACGCGAGGGCGACAGGGCAGCGAGTCAGTCAGCGAGTCAGCACATCAGGGCCTGCCATTCCCAAACGCGAGGTGCTTGGCTTTGCACGCACCACCACTGCAAGCGCACGCACCTATGTTCCATGACACTCTTCCCATGCTCGCTTCTCCTCTCCTCCGCATAGCTCTCCTTCGCTTCTACCGCGCCTGCTTACCCTTCTCCGCCTGCCGCCCCCCCTCTGCTTGTCTCATCTCACGCCGCATCCCCGCCGCCACGCCACCCCTTATCGCCCACATTGTCTCCCAGTCAGAGCCAGACTCAAAGGCCACGCATCGTCCCGCCATCCCTTACCGCCTGCATCGTCCCACCACCCCATTATCGGCATCGTCCCGCAATCCCGATTCCCCTGAACCTCGCGCGTCACGCCATCTCCGCCACGGCTTGCGCCTGCGCGCTCCCCTTCGCCCGCCACGCCTGCGCCAGAAGGCCGGCCCGCGGCGACGCGGCGGCGGCGGTGGACCGATCCGCGGCGCGCACTGCCGCCGCAACTGTGATGGCGGCTGGTCGAGGGCTGCGCGGAGGCCGGCGCAGGCGCGCGGCCAAGGGCGCGCCGCGCGGAGGTAACGCGCCGCGTTCTGCCGCGTGCATTCGCCGGCAGCGGGCGCCCCGAGGGCGATGCGCGGAGTTAGGTCTAAGCTGGTACACTACCTACCCGGCGCTTGCTGCTCAGAACTGGCCTTACTTAGCCAGGCGGCGACGACTCTGCCCACTCGAACAATGACCTGGCGGGGGTCTGAGAATGCCAAAGAACACCCTGCGGTCTGCCTCGTGTGACCATGACAACAGGGTGGGTGGGCGCTCTCTCCACCTCGCCCTGCCCATCCATCCGCGCACCTGCGCCATCCCTAACGCGATCGTGCCTCGCCGTCGCGCCCGGGTGTCGCAACGTGCGGCGGCCCCGACGCGGAGAGCCGAGAGCAGCGGGGCATGGGGCGGCAAGGGGCGGACGTGGTGGTGGCAGTGCCGCTGACGCCATGATCTCGCGCTGGCGCAAGCGGTGACTGGAACACACAACACATCAAGCGGGATGCTACTAGCGCGGGGAGAGATCAGGAAAGGCGGATCCGCACAGGACCCTCGATACTGTAACAGCCATGAAGATTTTATGCCTCTCTATCACGGAAGGTATAATGACATAATCCGATGTACATGGTATTGCATGCGGTACCAGATGCATTTTCTCCTAGCATTTTGAGATCCATTGCAAACAGCTCCACTAAATTGCAAATATCGTAGGCTCTCTATCACATTCTATTATCCTAACGTATTAAATAACACTGCTCTAGGCTTCTTGATCTATTTTTAACGTCTAAACATGAGGGATCAGAGCACCAGCATACGGTATATTATGTTGGGAACAATAAGTCTTAAGCGCCTCTGTCGTGTCGAAACTAAGGACACAAAAGCGAAGCAGTCCAAATCGAAGCATCGCGAGTCAACCCTCGGAGGTTAGGGTAACCGCCTGGAGGTTACGCGAAGGTCAAAGGTCAGCGACCTTTGACTTGACCAATACAGCGCGACAGCAAGGACACACAACTGACTCGACATTGAGCAGTTGCCCGAGTCGCACTGTATCGAATCGCAACAGCAAGGTAGTTAATTATATATATTCGTATTCCTTGTACTCTTATATCAACCTTTGTATCTGCCGGCTTTAATCAACTTACTTTGCCCTCACATACTAGCACAAGGTGGTTCAAGACCTTTACTCAACGCTTCCGCTATTACAATCCTACTGAGCCTTTAACTCTACAAAGATCCTAGGGCTTCTCAGCCCAACATGGTATGAGAGCAGTTAGAGTTAAATTTATTATTCAGCAAACCTTACATCAAAGAAGACATGTCAACCAGAAAGGAGAGGAGCTCCTCCAACGGCTCTCCCGGTACTACTCCTACCTCACCACCTGTCTCTGGCCTACAGACAGAGGAAGGGACTACCACCAGACCAGAAGCTGGGTCCACGGAAACGCCAGCAGGCTTCGATCCAAGCATGATGGAGAAGTTTTTCTCCTTCATGTCCTTCTACGAGCAACACCAGCAAGGAGTACCTGCGCAGTCAAACAACAGCAACAACAACAACGTGACTCTTATGAGTCTCGACGGATCATCCTACGCACGCGGGATTCAACAACAACAACAGCAGCCTACCTTTGCGCCGTACGAACCCCAGCGTGGTTCCGTCAGCTTCATGCCGCAACCGCAACCTGCACCGGGACAAGAAAAGGCATTAGACGTGTTACAAGTTCAATCGCAATTCGCGCACGTTCTCAAGCTGCAAACAACAAAGCCTTTCGACGGGAAAGACTTCTTCACCTGGTCGTTCGAGTTCGAACTGATGATGGAAGGAGCACAGATTCTCGGCTTCTTCGACGGGTCCCTGCCATATCCAACAAACGGGACACAATATGAGAAGCAGCAGTACACCTATCAATCGATGATGGCGTACACGATACTGCTAAGAAACATTACCCCGACCCAGCAGCAGAACATCAGGACTTACCGAGGCTACGGCAACTCCGCGGAGCTCGCGTACAACCACCTGAAGAACCTGTATCAAGCAACAGACAGCGTAAATCAAAGCAGGTTAATGGCGCAGTTGACAACGATTGAAATGAAACCAGGCGAGAAAGGCATGGCTTATATCAGCCGCTGCCGCAAACTGCGCGACAAGCTTCTTCGATGCGGAGGGTCAATCTCAGAAGACGCCTTTGTCACGGTGGTCATTGGCGGTCTCGGCCCCCACTGGCGCTCCACTCGCGCCATATTACGAGCACACGGGAGGATCTCCGAAGCGGCACTCTGCGCCGAAATCCACGCCGAGCAGCAGGATATGGACCTGCAAGAAGAAAGGCACAAGAAGAAATCATTAGCACCAGAGTTTGCGTTTCACACTCAGGGACGATACAACAGCAACAACAATCGACAACAGCAACAAATGAAGACGGTACCCCCGTTCTGTCACATCTGCAAGACCTCGGGTCATCCTCGCACACACTGCCCGTCTCGTCAGCAGTCGACAACACCACAGCCACAACTCCGGCCTTCAAGCTCCCAAGTTGCTTCAACGCAAGCAACTCCGACGACCGCACTTCAAGCTTCAACGACTTCAACTGGACAACCTGCACAAGGAGCAAGAAATATTGTCAATTGCATGGTCAAGATAAACGACTCCTGCACAACAGAGTCACCACCGTACTACTCACCCGAAGAACAACTTGACAACAGTACGCCTCGCCGCGAATCTCTTCAACCGAACCCAACGTACGCCGCCATCGCTCAAAGTGAACCGTCCGGCCAAGACACTTGGTTCTTGGACAGTTGCTGCGGACAACATATATGCTCCTCCGGGCGCTTCGTCCAACGCGAGCATCGACTCCAGCGAGAAGTAGTCATCACGGTCGCCAACAATCAGAACATGCGCACACGAAGACAAGGAGTGGTTCAGCTTCAGTCACGAGAAACAAACGTCATATTACACATGTCAAAGGTACTTATCGCGGAGGGACTCGGCTATAACTTACTGAGTGTTAGCCAACTGATGGCAAAAGGCATTCATTTGGAAGCCGACATCACCACCCAGGAGTTTAAGTTGTACCACGGGAAGGGCGGCCTCTACATCGGAAAGGCAGTGTTGAAGAATAACGTCTTCGTCCTTGATTTCGTCCCCGACCTGGGCACTTCCGACAGCGACGCCATCGTCAACTTCGCCGATTGGACACATCCCCCAGATCTCGATCCCGACTTCAGCCCGGGAGGCTTCTCGTACTCACACACCATTCCTGAAGCAGAACGAACACGAGCGTTAGCAACAATTCGACAATCGGCAGCAGCAGAAACATCATCGGCAGCAGTAGAGACAACATCGGCAGCAGCAGAGACAACGTCGGCAGCAGCAGAAACATCATCGGCAGCAGCAGGACAAACTACACCAGGCATCATCGACGAAGCTCCACCAACACCCGCACAGCAGCTGAACCCGACTCAACGAGAAGTCCACAGAAGCGCCAACCTCGTCGCCAGCTTCTACTCCAACTCCGACACGTATCGACGCTCACCCGGACATCGCGCCTCTGAAGAAACCTGGCACGCACGATTGGGACATCCAAGCAACGCTGTTTTAAATAACACGATAAGAGCAGGAGTTCTCGACAAAGACTCCTTACTACGACTCGACGGCAGAGAACTTCAAAAGGCACGAGGGACTTGCCTTACATGCCCTGAAGCTGACTTACCTCACCGACCGTTCGCTCCACATCACAACCCGAGCGCACCGGCGTACGCACCACTCGAGAAGGTTTACAGCGACATCCTCTACAATCGCGAACCAGGACAAGTCACCTACAATTACACCATTACCTTCATCGACGCCGCCACTTGATATGTTTGGCATCTAAACCTACCCAGCCGCGACATGGCTCTCGCAGCGTTCACCGCCTGGCTACCGGTAGCAGAGAGGGAATCGGGAGCAAAGCTGGAAAGCTTCCAGTCAGACGGAGGAGGAGAATACACCTCTCAGCGCTTCAAGCAGTACCTGGCGGAAAGAGGAATCAAGCAACTCCTCTCCCTTCCCTACGCACATCAGCAGCAAGGTGTTGCAGAACGAATGAACAGGACTCTGCAGAACAGCATGCGCAAACTGTTACGTGGCATGCGGCTACCCAACCACCAGTGGCCTGCAGCAATGGACCACGCTGTCATGCTGCACAACTTGCTTTCGTCGTCGTCACTTCCGAACAACGCATCACCGCATCTGCTGTGGACAGGGAAGCAGGGCAGCACAAAAATGTTACGAGTTTTTGGATGCATGGTACAGTACCGACCCCCAGAAGCACGAGCAGGAAGATTTTCACAACGGGCACAATGGGGACTACACCTCGGCATCGAGAAAAATTACAACGCATGGAAAATCTTCGACGTCCACTCAAAAGAAACAGTAGCAGCACGTGATGTGATCTTCTACGAACGACTCACCCTTCAGACGTACCTCGCCAACTTGCACGAGAATCAGGACCCCACAGGTGGCTTTCGTGGTGACCGAGCCTTCGCCTCAGCAGCGGACGAAGCAGACTAGGATGAACAGAACGTCGACAACGCATCGGAGGAAGCCGGACCTCTTCCGTTCTGCTCCGTCGACGTGCCCATGGACGAAGAAAATCCTCGCGAAAGTAACAACGCCAAAGTCTTCTATCACTTCGCCGACAATGGTTACGTAACACCTGCAACAGCCAACACCAACGAAGCAGAAAGGATAGGGCCAAATTTCATACCCGATCCAGAAGCGGGAGACGAAGCAGCCTATCCCGAGGACACAACACTCCCCCGCTACTCACATACCGGACTGCAAATCCTCGGCCTCGTCACCGCCGTCCATGGCTCCCCTCTTCCTAAAGAGCCTGCGACGGTTCAACAGGCTCTAGGGGGGGGAACACAGAGAGAAATGGTGTGAAGCCATGGACAAAGAGCTAAAGGCATTGGAGGAACGCAACACCTGGAAGATCGTTCCAGCAAGCATAGCGAGAAACAGGACCATTCTCACCGGGAAGTGGGTCTTCCGCATCAAAACGAAAGCAGATGGCACAATTGAGAAGTTCAAGGCACGATGGGTCGTGCGAGGATTTGATCTGGAACAGGGCCGGGACTTCACAAAAACATTCGCCCCAGTCAGTCGACATACCTCTCTCCGAATCCTTCTCGCCGTCGCCGCCATGAAGAAGAAGAGGCTGCGACAAATTGATGTCGCCAACGCCTTCCTCTACGCACTTGTCGACGCCGACATCTTCGTCGAGCTCCCTCACGGTACCCACGGGGAACCCAATCAGGTCTGCCAGCTGCTAAAGTCTCTCTACGGAATCAAACTGGCCCCACGGCTGTGGCAACAGCACCTGCACACCCTTCTCATCCGCATCGGATTCCGCCAACTGCCTCATGACCAAGGCATGTACCGACTCACTAAAGGCGCCTACTACATCCTACTCATCGTCTACGTCGACGATCTCCTCTA